TAGCATATGTCTACCTTACACCTAATACAAAAATTAACTAAAATCAGTGAAGGATCTAAATTTAAGATCTCAAACTATCAAACTACTATAGGTATTACTATTTCAAAACATGGGAGGTACTGAAAGACATTGGCTTATCAAAGAATATTTGGGTAAGACACCAAGAGAACAGTCAATAAAAACGAAAGCAGAGGGTCAGCGCTGCAGCACAGTGGGTTAAAGCCATGGCCTGAAGCGCCAGCATCCCATATGGGTGCTGATACTAGCCCTGGCTGCTTTTCCTCTGATCCAGCTCTCTGCTATGACCTGGGAAAGCAGTGGAAGATGGCTCAAGTCCTTGGGCCCCTGCACCTATGTGGGAGACCCAGAAGAGGCTTTTGGCTTAGGATGGCGCAGCTCTAGCCATTAGCCATCTAGGGAGTGAACCAGCTAAACGAAGACCTCTCTCTCTCTCTGCCTCTACCTCTCTCTGTAAATCTGTATTTCAAATAAAATAAATCTAAACATAAAAAAGCCAAAACAGACAAATAAGATAACATCTAGCTAAGAATCTTTTATGCAGAAAACAAAATAACAAAGTGAAGAGACAACCAACAGAAATGGAGCAATATTTTCAAAACATTCATCTGATAAAGGATAAATATTCATAATATATAAGGAGCATAAGAAACTCAGCAGCAACAAAACAAACAATACAGATAAGAAATGATAAAATAATATGAGTAGACATTTTTCTTTTTTAAAAAAGATTTTATTTATTTATTTGACAGGTAGAGTTGCAGACAATGAAAGGAAGAGACAGAGAGAAAGGTCTTCCTTCCATGGTTCACTCCCCAGCTGGCCACAATGGCCGGATCTGAAGCCAGGAGCCAGGTGCTTCTTCCATCTGAGTGTAGGGGCCCAACACTTGGGCCATCTTCTACTGCTTTCCCAGGCCACAGCAGAGAGCTGGATTGGAAGAGGGGCAGCCACAACTAGAACTGGCTCCCATATGGGATGCCAGCACTGCAGGCGGAGGATTAACCTACTGCACCATGGCGCCAGCCCCTGAGTAGACGATTTTCAAAGGAAGAAATACAAATGACCAATAGACACACCAAAAAATTCTCTGGATCACTAGCAATGAGGAAAAGACAAATAAAATCCTTAGTGCACTATTATCTCATTCCAGTTAGAAGGCCTATCATCTAAAAATCAAAGAATAACAAATGCTAGCAAAGTTGTGGAGAAAAAGGTACATTATTGGTTGGAATGTAAAATAGTATAACCATTATGAAAACTGTATGGAGATTCCCCCCAAAAAATAAAAATGATTTTGTAATGTTTTCCAGCTATTCCACTTCTAGGAATATATCCAAAGGAAATGAAATAAGTATAAGATAGAGCTAGCTGCACTGTCATGCTTATAGCAGCCCAACTGGCAATAGCAAAAATATGAAATCAACATAGATGTTCATCAACAGATGACTGAATAAGCGAAATGTGATATATATTTATGTGTCACACACACACACATGCACAAACAGTGGAATAATACTCAGCAGTAAAAAAGATTGAAATCCTGAGATTAGCAACAAAATGAATGGGACTGGAGGTCATTAGCTTAAATTAAATGTCATACCCAGAAAGGCAAATATCATATGCTTTTGCTTATTTGTGAAGTTAATATATATGTATGCATATGTGTGTGAATGTGTGCGTGAGGTGGGAGAGAGAGGAAAAATTGTATGGATATATTATTTAATATATTGATTCACTAAATTATACCATGTGCAAGACAATATATACTTTTCTTTCCCCACTTGGTGATCATTGTCATTAATCCCACATTTTTTGCTACTCATATGCATGTTTTCAAGAAAAATAGTATATACGTGTTTATTATCTTCATATGAAGAAAGTATGTAAATTTTTTAATTCTTAAAACACAAAATATTATTTTTAAAGTGTACAATAGTTAAACTGAGAATATTCTAATATAGTAGAGCTGGTGAGTAAACAAGTTTTACCTCTAATATAAAAACAAAAGGACAGAAGTACTACAAATAATTATAGGTACAATAACACATTAATGGGCAAACAATATAAAGCAATATAAATAGTGACATAAATAACTAACATAGTAAAGGGAAGAGAGGTAAAGTATCGTTAAAATTGGAAAATAAAAGCAGAATTGGAAAATTGGACATTATAGCAGTTAATACAAAAAATAAAAGGTATTATAAGAGACTACAGTGAAGAATAGCATGTCAAAAATTGTATAATATACAGGAAATGAACAAATTCCTAGATAGATGCAACCTTCACAGACTGAATTGTGAGAAGTGGAAATTTCAAACAGATCAGTGATGGGTAAGAAGATCAGATCAGTATTTAAATAGTCTTTCACAAAATAAAATTCCAGGAATTGATGGCTTCGCTGCTGAATTCAAATAAAGATTTAAAGAACGAACACAAGTTCTTCTCAAACTCTTCAAAAAAAATTAAACTGGAAGGAACACATCCATACTCATTTTCTGAGGCCAGTATAACTTAGTACTAAAGTCAGATGAGGAAATAACAAGGAAAGAAAAGTATAGGCCAATATCCCTGATTAACATAGTTGTAAAAATCTTCAAAAAATACTAGCAAGCCAGATTCACCTATACCTCAAAGGGATAATATACTTCATGATCATTTGATAATTATCCTTGGGGTGTTAAAATTGTTCAACATTAAATAATCCATTTGATACATCACATTTATAGGATGAATAATGAAATTATATGACTGTCTTGATAGATGCAAAATTGAAACTGCACAAAAATTCTATTAGAATCAATGAATTTAGTAAAATGTCAGTATTAAAAATAAGCTACCATAGTCAATAATGTTTCTATTTACTATCAACAATCATAAAAAGAAATTAAAGAAATAATCCCATTAATAGTAATATAAAATACAAAGGAATGAATTTAACACAGGAGGTGAATGATACAAAAAATGTTATAACAAAGTAATGAAAGAAATTGAAGCCAGAAATGGAAAGAAATCACATGTTCATGGGTTCAAAGAAACCGCATTATGGAAATAGACTTGTTGTCTAAGGCAATCTATAGATTCAATGAAATTCTTATATAAACAATTTTATTTCTCAGAGAAATGGACAATATATTGCCAAAATTCATATGGACCCACAAAAGACAGAAAATAGTAAAATTGGTCTTGAGTCAGTAGAACCCAGCTGGAGGTCTCCCATTATCTGACTTTAAAAAGCACTACAACCTATAGTAATAAAAAAGATACAATATTGGCATTAAACAGATCTGTTGACCATTGGAAAGTAATAGAAAGGCCAGAATCAACTGAACATTTTATAGTCAGTTGAGCTTTAATAAGTGTGTCAATCAAAAACACACAATGCAGAAAGGATAAGAATTCTTGGGAAAACTGAATATCTACATTCCACAGATTGAAATTGGAGTTTTATCTCACACAATAGACAACAAATTCAAATGGATTAAAGACATGATGCCAGGAAACTACTAAACTACTAAGGAAAAAATGGACTGAGGAAAGCTTCTTGATAGTGATCTTAACTATGAATTTTTTATTTGATCCCTAAAGTACGAGTAACAAAGGTAAAAATAGAAATTAAATTCATGTCTATATTAAACAATCCATTTGATTTACTAAAATAATGGATTTTAGTTGGGATTACATCAAACTAAGAAATTTCTGACAAAGATAGAAATAATCAATAGAATGTAGTGAGAAATTTTGAAATAGGAGAAAGCATCTACAAACCATACATCTGAAAATGGTTATTATCCTCAATATACAAGGGACTAGTATATTTCAATTGCAAGAACACAACTCAATTGAAAAAAATAAGCCAAGAAGAGGAAGAGACATTTCTATAAAGAAGACATTCAAAAATGGTCACAGAATATATGAAAAAGTTCTGAAGGTCATCAGAATTAGAAAGTTATGTCACTTCACACCTGTTAGGACAACTGTCAAATTATAAAACATGTAAATATTTACAAGGCAGTGGAGAAAAGACAGCACTGCTGAAAGTGTAAAATGTTAGAACAATAAAGAGCATGAAGATTCTTTAAAAAATTAAAAATATTATCACCATATAATAATCTAATAATATTGCTTTTTAGAATATATCCAAAGGAAATGAAATCTGTTCATCATTGGCACTCTCATATTCATTTCAGAATTATTAATAATACCCCAAATATGGAATCAATGTAGGTATCCACTTAAGGATAAAGGAATAAGGAAGTTGTTACATGTACAGATTTATATGAATATGCATATATATTACATTATCCCTTAAACGAAAAAAAGGAAACATTTTAATTTTTAAAGACATGAGTAAATATGGAAGGCATGCCAAAATAGCTTAACACCAAAAGAAAAATGTTATTTTAATTATATGTGTGAAAAAAATGAAATTCATAAAAGCAGAGAATAGAACAGTAGTCGCCATGAGTTAATGATAGGAAATGGGAAGATTTGGTCAAAGCTTGGTTATACTGGATGAATAAATTCTGTAGATCCAATATACAGCAGGACAACTATTGTTAAAAAAAATTCAGCAGATGAAAGAACCATGAGCTAAAGCCAGCCAAAAAATATTATAATATATACTTGAATTTTGTGAAAATAATGGACCTTAAACATTCTCAGTACAAAAATAAGAGGTGTAGTAAAGCAACTTCATTTAGATGCTGGCAATGCCCTTCCCTGACACTTTTGGTCACTGCAATATACAACTTTCACCCTATTGACAATTTTACACCTCAAGTGTACCTTCTCCTTATGCTATTCTGCAACAAGGAAGCATTTCCTTAAGCATGAGAGAGTTGGTAAACATGGCGACACCTCTAAAGAAAGCCAATGCTGATAAATGTACTAGGGCTATTCTGAGTGAATTGTACATGGTTTTCCAAAGGGACTTTGTGAGATTCATATTCTATGCCCCGACCCAAAGACAGCCTACTTACAGAAACATCTGTTAGAGCCTTCTGTTATTTTCTTATCTCATTTTTTTCTGTTAATTTGGGCATCCTGGGACGTTTCAAATGACTCCTTGCTCATGAAAAAAAAAAAAAAAACTGGAAGATTCTGGGCATTGATGTTTAAGAAAAAACCTGTAAATACTGGACAGGGATATTCTTGTGCACAGAAAGTTATTACTTTTAGTCAAGAGACCCAAATCTATCAGCGCTACCTTAATGCTGACAACTTAAACCAACACCTAAAACATGCTAACCTGAGTCACCTAGGCCACGCCCACCTGTCATTTGACCCTTGACACTTGGCAAGTGTGGGGATTGTTGCGTCTGATCAGCGCACTCACAAAGCACTCCCATTGTACTGGCCAAGTACTTGATTGGCCCTCAGGTTTTCCGCCTTTCTCCAGGAAAATGGCAGCTTCTTCCGCACCGCCCAAGGCACCACCTCACCACTGCCAGGGTCCCTCTGCTTCCCCGTGGGTTCTCGGGATTCTCCTGCTGACCCTGGTGTTCCTGCCATCTACCTCCTCTAACACCTGTGGTGAGCCACCAAGATTTCAAAGTATGAGGGCCACAGATAGCCTTAAATCGTCCTATAATGTGGGGGAGCGAGTGGAATATGAGTGTAGGCTAGGATACAGTCACCGGCGGCCTCTGCCCAAATTTATTACTTGTCAAGAGAATCAACAATGGTCACAGATCTCAAATGATACTTGCTATAAAAAATCATGTCCACGTCAACCTGAACCCCTAAATAGTCAAGTTAACGTCGTAAATGGAAGCTATGAATACGGGAACCAGATTGAATATGTGTGTAATGAGGGTTATCACTTAATTGGTGAACGTATTCTGTATTGCCAAGTCAGTGATACAGGTATGCAATGGAGTGGCAGTCCTCCACGATGTGAAAGGATTATGTGTACACCACCTCCAAACATACCAAATGGAGCACATTCTGGCTTTGGCAAGGAAGTGTTTGAATATCAAGCAGCCGTAACTTACACGTGCAATCGGGCGTCTGGACCAGATGAATTTTCACTTATTGGAGAGAGTCAGCTGTATTGTGTTGGGCCTGGAAAATGGAGTAGTGACCCTCCTCAGTGTAAAGTGGTCAAATGCCCATTCCCAGCACTCACAAATGGAAAGCAGGTGTCAGGATTTGGGACAAAATTTTACTATAAGGCAAATATTATGTTTGCGTGCAACCAGGGATTTTACCTTCAGGGCAGCGCGATAGTTACCTGTGCTGAGAATGGTACTTGGCAACCCCCTATTCCATCATGTCTTCAAGGACAGCCGCCTTCCAATACAAAAGCTCCAACTGCGAGTTCTTCAGCTCCAAAGCCTCCAAATGTGAATCCTGCAGTGACACCTGGTAAAAATTCTAGACCTTCAGCAGCCCCGAAGCCTCCAAATGTAGCTTCTTCAGCGTCACAGCCTCCAAATTTAACACCTTCAGCGTCACAGCCTCCAAATGTAACTCCTGCAGCCCCACAGCCTCCAAAAGTAACTCCGGCAGCGCCACAGCCTCCAAATTTGGCTCCGTCAGTATCAAGGCCACCAAAATCGCGGCCTTCGGTGTCGATGCCTTCAGGGCCGGCTCCTTCCAGTGCAAGACCTCGAATCTCCAGTATCTTTCAGTATACAAGTCTCAGTGAAGGACCATTTGATCTCAGAGATATACTTGGATGGATCGTTGTTTTGATTACTACTGTGCCGGGATTGTTGTAAATGGTGTCTGCCTGTGCAAATATTCCCAAAGCAAGAAAAAATAGAAATCAACTTAGAGTGGAATTATCACTTACCAGAAAAAATCAAACCCACCTGCAGGTAAAATTAAAGGATTTCAACAACTAGTTCACAATTTTATGTTTTGAATTTTATTAAAATCCTCAAATCTGCAATAGTTGTTCTCTAGTTTTTGCTGTTGTGAGTGAAACTATTAAGTCATAATGCTAGCATTATAATATATCTTGAATAGTGTCATCATTATTCAGTAATTTTTTGAAATATATATGAATTTGCATATGAATATATTTCCTATTTTGTCTTTTTTTTTTTTTTGACTGGCAGAGTGGACAGTGAGAGAGAGAGACAGAGAGAAAGATCTTCCTTTTGCCGTTGGTTCACCCTCCAATGGCCGCCGCGGCCGGAGCGCTGCGGCCGGCACATTGCACCTATCTGATGGCAGGAACCAGGTGCTTCTCCTGGTCTCCCATGTTGGTGCAGGGCCCAAGTACTTGGGCCATCCTCCACTGCACTCCCTGGCCACAGCAGAGAGCTGGCCTGGAAGAGGGGCAACCGGGACAGAATCTGGTGCCCTGACCGGGACTAGAACCCGGTGTGCCGGCACCGCAAGGTGGAGGATTAGCCTGCTGAGCTGCGCGCTGGCCTCCTATTTTGTCTTAATTGACATTTCATTGCTAGTCCAACTCAACAAGAATCCAGAGTAACATTAAGTTGAGGGAATGATTTCTTTAATTTGAAAATTTAAAGTAATATAGTTCAAAATGAAATTACATTTCATTTATAAAGAAAGTTATTTTGAAATATGTTTGGATTTAAAAATTAGTGTCAATTATGAACATGAATTATTTACCAATTTTGACATGTATCTTACATAATGTTTAATGCATAGAGCTTTAAAGCTATAGACATATATGGATGCATATTCATATGTAATTGTTTACATACAAAAACAAATACATATACACAGACATACACAAACACATGCAAGTACATAGAAATACAAGGATACCTCATACAGTCCTCCTTTTCAATCACTGACAAGGCCACAGGAACTATATGTGTGTCAGAAATATTATTTGAACAAAGGAAAGGCCAATCCCTTACCTTTCTCATAATTCATGAAGGCTACAATATTTCGTTTGGCCGCAATAATGTAACGTTTTTCACCTGGTAGAATTAATTGATGCAGACAGGAGAGAGAAATCAAAATGGAAATAGAGAAAGAATGGAGAAGAGAAAAGAGAAAAAGATTCAATAGTTTTCTAAAGCATAACAGCAATTAAAATGTGTTTCTATGCTCTTTGATATTGTGGGATGAATTTTCTCACATCTGTCCTCAGTCATCCTGGAAATGGCACCAGATTTTTAAAGAACCTGAGATATTTTAATTCTTAATGGAGAGTACATGCCTCCTATTGGGAATCAAGAGTTATGAAGATAGACATTACTAAAGGACCACCCACCTTCCTCAAGTATCATGTCGATATTATTCACTTTTTCCTCTGCCTTGGAGATCTATTTCTGTGTCACTGAGGAACAATAACATTTGTTTTGGAAAAGCATGTATACATTTTTGAATATTACTTTTTCATAAGCATTAGATGACTGGACTTTACATAAATGATGTTACACTTTTAAAAGAGGGGAGTTGTTCCACAAATAAGAATATTGTCCTCCTATTTACATTGTTGACAATTCTGTGTATGTTTTCATTATTGTATTCAGTACATAACTCAAAGCCAAGGGCCCACTTAAGTTCACATTAAAACAAAATGTTTCTAGAGAAATTTCATGAAATAACAATGCTATGGCAAAATAATTTTTAATGAGTTACTGATACCTGTGCTTTTTACATACACCTTCTATAGAACACCATATTACCCAGCTATCCCACTACAGGAAAAGAAATCAGCATATGAAAGAATCATCCATACACCCATGTTTGCAGCACCTCAACACACAATATCCAAGATGTGAAATCAACCCAGATGTTCATCAACTGATGACTTTACAAAGAAATTGTGGTATATATACACAATGGAATAGTATTTAGTCCTTAAAAAAGAAATTTGTAAACTGCAAAAAATGGATGTGAGTAGGCACCATTATGCTTAGTATAAAAAGCCAGTGCTCAAAATAGAAATATCAGGTTTTCAAGATTTAGGGTAACTAATATAAGGAGTACAGAAACCTGGAATATATAACGAGCAAAATTGAAATTTTGAGATTTGATTATTGTTTATAGCCTTTGTCTATACTCTTGAGGAACAATGATTTTTCTATTTACTACTTGTTGAATCTTTTTGAGTGTAGGGTTAAGCTTGTGATTATAATGTAAATTGAAAATATATCATTGTAAAAAAGAAAAAAAGGATTTTGGAGGGTAAGAGTGAGGTAAGCAGGTTGGGGTGGGAAATATCATTGTGCTTAAAATTGTACATATGAAATATATTAATTTTTTCCCTTAAACAAAAATAATAAAAATAAATAATAAAGAAATTTTGTAAAAAGAAATCCTTGTTGTATAGCTAAAAATATGGTATGTTTATGAATTAAGTAAGGCAAATGTGTTAGATAAATCTTGCTTCTAAGGCTTACAAATGACTACTACCTAAAGACTGAAACATCAATTTTCAAAGCTAGTATATTTCAGTGGGCAGGAATCCAGTGATTATCCATAGAATATTTCGGCACAAAGGAACGTAAGGTGCAAATGAGAGATGAATACTCTAAGAAGAGAAGAGAATAAAGGGTGATAAAGAACACATGATAATCTTAGAGATGGCCAGAGTCATGGAGAACAGTAATTGCAATCTGACACTGCATGCGTAAGCACACGTCATTCAGGTTGCTTGTTTTTCCAAATCATTCCAAATTGTTTCTAATCATAGTCCATACTACATGTCTCTTTGTTTAGGGTTAAAAGTCCCCCCAGTGATGTAAACAGTTGCATCGATTATTGTTTCCCTTTACAAAGCTCTTTCAGTTTTTGTCATCTCTTCTGGAAATATTCCTAGAAGTATTAAGAACTATTTTTTTAAAGATTTATTTAGCTACTTAAAAGTCAGAGTTACACAGAGAGAAGGAGATGTAGAGAGAAAGAGAGTGGTCTTCCATCCTCCGGTTCACTCCCCAATTGGCTGCAACTGCTGGAGCTGTGCCGATCCAAAACCAGGAGCCAGGAGCTTCTTCCAGGTCTCCCACGCATGTGCAGGGGCCCAAGGACTTGGGCCATCTTCTATTGCTTTCCCAGGCCACAGCAGAGAGCTGGATAGGAAGTGGAGCAGCCGGGACACCAACCCGTGCCCATATGGGATTCCAGCACCGCAGGCGGCAGCTTTACCCGCTATGCCACAGTACCAGCCCAAGAACGATATTTTTAGACATTTGTTTATTTATTTAAAAGGTGGAGTTACAGAGAGACAGAGCCAGAGGTGGAGAGAAGAAGTCTTCCATGCACAGTTCATTCCCCAAATGGCTGCAACAGCAAGCGCTGGGCCACATACAAGCCAGGAGCCAAGAGCTTCATTCTGGTCTCCCACATGGGAACATGACCCCAGGCATTTGGGCCATTTTCTGCTGCTTTCCTAAGCACAACAGCCGGGAGCTGGATCAGAAATGGAGCAGCCAAGACTTGAACCAGTGCCCGTAAGGGATACTGGCATGGCAGACAGCAATATAACCCTCTATACCAAAAGTGCTGCCCCCCAAGCACTGTTTTTATACTGTTCTATACTTCATCCATGCTTACTGCAATTTCCTGGAACTGAGATCCCACAAGAAGAAGTATTACTTGCCATTCTGATTGTGATTGTGCCACTGCCCTGTGAAGCAGCAGAGCTTCCTTCTACATGTTCATGGATGCTCCAAGAGATGACTCCAATGTATGAGAGCATTCCTTGTAGGATTCCATTCCAGTCCCAATCCCATTTGACCTTCTCTATTACCATGGGTCTTTTTGACAACTGTGCTTCTAGCTTATTCTCCTTTGAGCACATTGTTTATAATTGCTTTCCTTTGTCAGGGCTTATTTTGTTTAGAGGAGTATGTGTGAGGCACTATTTAAAATTTCATTAACCTACACAAATTTCATGTATTTCCTATATGAAGATTTAGGAACAGAGTGATACTTCACACCCTACCCTCCCTCGCACCTGACCTCCAACACCTCTTCTCCTCCCTTTCCTATTCCCATCCTCAATGTTTACAAAAATCAATTTCCAGTTTACACCATACTTATAAGGTTAACTCTACACTAAGTAAGGAGTCCAACAAGTAGTATGAAAAAAAAAAAAAAACACTGTTCCTACAATAAAGAAAAGGGTTATAAACAACCATTGAATCTCATAATGTCCATTTCACTACCATACATTACATTTTAGGTACTGTATTAGTAACCCCAGATCAGGGAAAATATATGATATCTGTCTTTTTAGGACTGGCTTATTTCACTAAGTATAATGGTTTACAGTTTGCATCCATTTTGTTGCAAAAGAGAGGATTTCAGTTTTTACAGCTGAGTAGTACTCCATAGTATATATGTGTGTGTGTGTGTAAATATATATATATATATAAATTTCATTTATCAACTTATCAGATGTTAGACAACATTTGGGTTGTGTTCATATCCTAGCTATTGTGAGTTGAGCTGCTATGTTCATGAGGGTACAATAACTCTTTTTTTTTTTTTTTTTGACAGGCAGAGTGGACAGTGAGACAGAGAGAAAGGTCTTCCTTTGCCGTTGGTTCACCCTCCAATGGCCGCCGCGGCCGGCGCGCTGCGCCCGGCGCACCTCGCTGATCCGATGGCAGGAGCCAGGAGCCAGGTGCTCTTTCCTGGTCTCCCATGGGGTGCAGGGCCCAAGCACTTGGGCCATCCTCCACTGCACTCCCTGGCCACAGCAGAGAGCTGGCCTGGAAGAGGGGCAACCGGGACAGAATCCGGCGCCCCGACCAGGACTAGAACCCGGTGTGCCGGCGCCGCTAGGCGGAGGATTAGCCTAGTGAGCCGTGGCGCCGGCCGGTACAATAACTCTTTAATATTCTGATTCCATTTGGATGATTTCCCAGGAGTGTGATGGCTAAGGTATCTCCATATTGTCTTCCATGTGCCTACACCAGTTTACATTCCAATGAACAGTGATTTAGTGTACTGTTTTCTCCACATATTTGGCAACATTTGTTGTTTGTTGATTTCTGTATGTAAACCATTCTAACCGGGGTGAGGTGAAACCTCATTGTGATTTTGGTTTGTATTTCCCTGATGGCTAGTGATCCTGAACATTTTCTAAAATGTCTGTTGGCCATTTGAATTTTCTTTCTTGAAAATTGCCTATTGAGTCCTTTGCCTATTTCTTAACTAGATTGTTTGGTTTTTGTTGACAGATTTCTTGAGCTCTTTACAGTTTCTTTTATCACTTGCATAGTTTGCAAACATTTTCTCCTATTCTGTTGATTGCCACTTTCCTGTTTCTTCTGCAGTGCAGAAGCTTCTCAGTTTGATGTAACCCCATTTGTCAATTTGGGTTTGATTGCCTGTGCTTCTTGTATCGTGTGAATTTGTTAAGTCAACAACAGGAGTCACTGTGCACTTATTCCTCATGTAGGATCTTTGTCCTTAGTGTGCTGTACATTGAGATTTAATGCTATAACTAGTACTCAAACAGTATTTTTCACTTTATGTTTCTGTGTGGGAGCAAACTGTTGAAATCTTTACTTAATGTATGCTAAAGTGATCTTCTGTATATAAAGAGAAACGAAAATGAATCTTGATGTGAATGAAGGGGGAGAGGGAGTGGGAAAGGGGAGGGTTGCGGGTGGGAGGGACATTATGGGGGGGAAGCCATTGTAATCCATAAGCTGTACTTTGGAAATTTATATTCATTAAATAAAAGTTTAAAAAAAAAGACTCAAAAATAAATAAATACACTAATATTAAAGTGGATAATATAGTTAAACTCAGAATATTTTAATTATGTAAGGTGATGGGTAAAGTTTTAACTTTAGCATAAAATTTAGCACAGAAACCTATTACAATAAATACAATAATATGTAATTGGATAAACAATATAAAAGGATGTATATTGTTACATAAGTGACAGCAAATGTAGTGAGGGGAAGAGGCATGAAAGTGTTTTTAAAAAGATGACTGAAATAAAAACAGAATTGGAAGATTAGCCATTAGCCATTACAATGGATAATATAGTACTATAAGATACTATAGTGAAAAAAAGCATGCCAACAAATTGTATAACAAGAAGAAATGGATAAATTCCTAGATACATGTGACCTTTCCAGATTTAATTGTGTGAAGTGGAAATGTAAATAATGAGTAACAAAATTGAATCAGTATTTCAACAGGCTTTCACAAAACAAAAATTCAACTAAAAATCTTAGGAAACAATGCTAATTTTCTCAAGGTCTTCAAAAAAATTAAACTGGAAGGAATATCCCCACACAAATATCTAGATATTGGCATTACCCTAATAATTAAGTTACACATAGGAATTACAAAGAAAGTAAAATGTGTACCAATATACCTGTTTAAGATAGATGTAAAAATCCTTGAAAAATACTAGTAAGCCAGATTCATTTTTGTCTCAAAGAGATCATAATCATAATCATATGAAAATTATTTTTGAGTTGTCAGAGTTTTCAATATTAATTAATCCACTGGATACATCTCATTAAATGATGAATAATGGAACAATATGACTAACTTGATAGATGCAAAACATGTTTGACAAAATTCAGTACCCATGCCTGATAAAATCTTTCACTGAAGTAATTATAGAAAGAATAAGCTTTAACAACAATAAAGGTTATAAATGGTAAATTAACAACTGACATTATTCTCAATTGTGAATGGAGAAAATCTTTTTTAAGATGAGATAAAAGACAAGGATGGTCACTTTCACAACCTCTATTCAACATTACTTGAAATCCTAGCCAGAATAAAGAGGTAACAAAAGGGGAATAAAAGTCATCCAAATTGGAAAGCAAGAAGTAAAGACACCAGTATGAGCAGATACCATCTTATATAGAGCAAATTCTGAAACTGCGCAAAAATCAAAAGTATTAGAATCAATAAATGAATTCAGTAACATCTCACGATTCAAAATAAACTACTACATTAAGTCATGTTTCCAAACACTATCAAAAATCATGGGAAGAAACTGAGGAAATAATCCCATTTACAATACTATAAAAATACTAAGGAATACATTTAAAGCAGGGGCTGAATGCTATGAATGAAATTCTATAACAGATTTAAGAAATAATTTGAAAAGGACAGAAACATTCATGCTATTAAATGAATCATATTATTCAAATAGACATATTGCTTAAAGCAATCTATAGATTCAATGTAATTCTTGTATCCATATGATTTTTCACAGAATTGAAAAAATATATATTGCCAGATTTTGTATTGACCCACAAAAGACACAAAATAATAATAGTGGTTTAGAGTAATTAGAACACAGTTGGAGGCATTCCACTATCTGTTTTCAAAGTACACTACAAAGCTATAGTAATCAGAAAGGTATGATACTGGTATAATAACAGAACTATTGACCAATGGATCAGACTCAAGTGACTCTTTTACAGCCAATTCAGTTTTAATAAATGTGTCAAAGATAAACAATGCGGAAAGGATAAGAATTCTTGGAAAAACGGAATATCTACATTCAAAAGCATGAAACTGGAGATTTATCTCACACCATAGATACAAAATTCAACTGGATTTAAGATATGATACCACGAAACTACTAGGGAAAAAAGAGAAAAGCTTCTTGACGTGGTCTGAACACGAATTTTATATTACAAGTAAATTTTATATTACAAGTAACAAAGGTAAGAATAGACATTAAACTAAAAGTCTTGGATTTTAGTTGTGATTACATCAAGCCAAGAAGCTTCTGCACAAAAAAGGAAACAAACAACAGCACAAAGTGAGACTTTTGAATGGGAAAGTACTACAAAATGTGTACCTAAAAATGGTTATTTCCCTGAATATATAATAAAGTCATATATCTCAATAGGAGGAAAGCAACCAACATACACAAAAATAGGTCAATGAGGGAAATAGACATTTCTGTAAAGAAGACATACAAATACATGATCACAGAATAACTGAAAAAATTCTGAAAGTCAATAAAATACAAATCAGACTTACTAAGTTACATCACTCCACGCCTTTAAAAGGACAGTCATCAAGATAAAAGACAATGTTGACAAGAAAGTGTAGAAAAGAAAACATTGTAAATACAAAATTGTAAAAATACAAAGAGTATGATTACTTTAAATGTTAAAAGTAATATTTTGATATGATGACAGAATAATCTCGTTTTTTAGTATATATCTACCACAGCACTAATCAACAGCCAAGATATGGAATCAACCTAGGTGTGCATTTAGTAATAGATAAATGAAGAAGAAATTGTTACACATATAGATTAATATGAATAGTCATCTATATGAACATTATATTATTCCTAAATCCAAATAGGAAATCCTTTAATTTACAAAGGCATGGATAAATCTGAATGCAGGATCAAAAGGGCTAAGAACAGAAAGGCAAATACAATCTTAATTATATATGAAAAGAAAAAAAAATAAATTCTTAAAAGCAGAGAATAGAATGGTAGTTGGCAGGGTAGGAAATGTGAAGATTTGGTCAAACTTTTGGTAATTACATATGAACAAATTCTGTAGACTCAATATATGGCATTGTAACTATTGTGAAACATGTATTTTAAACTTGAAATCTGCTAAAAATTAGAACTTAAACATTCTCAACACAATAAAAGGTAATTCTGTGAGGTGATATATGTTATCAATCAGTTTGCATGTGATAAACAATTCAGTGTGAAGATATATCAAAACATCAGGCTGTGTTGCATGAAAATATAAAATTTTATTTGCTAAATACACCTCAATAATTTGAGGGAAAAACAAAAGAAGAAAAAAGTAAATCTCAAAGAAGTGGAAGGTACTTAAGGTAAACAAGAAACACGGGAAATACTTGTACACATTTAGAAAATTCTACAAAGAGAAAGGATCTTCCAAAAAAGTAAATGAGTTCATGTTCAAAGAAATACTGTCTTATGACATTTGGTAATCTTGAAAAGAGTTCTTTTTTTTAGGAATTTGAATATAGAAAATGTGATCATTAATTGTCTGAATAATTGCAGCTTTAAGCTCAGGCTAAGTCAGATCATGAAGCAAGCCACCTACATAAAATGTAAATAGAAGGCAAAAAATGGGAACAAAAATTGGGGTATAACTGTTTTGAAAAATAATGAACTCATTTTTAATTGAATTATGTGAATCCTACCAATAGAAATGTCTGTTTTTTGTCATACAAAAATCTTACTCTCAAAAGAGCATCAGTCAGTTCATATTGAATTGTTTAAAGGTGGTATAGATATGGCAATAATTATTTGGTGAAAATGATTAGAATATTCTCAAGGAAGCTGTGGAGGTAGATGCTAGACTTCTATGTGTTGACCTGTAACTATTATATTTGAAGTGTCCAATACCTGTACCTCTATCTCCTACCCACCTTTTATTCCAACCACTCCTCTTCTTCATACCTCTTTTTCTCCTCTTTCTCTTATACCTACATCCAATACATCCTTTCCTTTTGCCATTTGTCCTTCTTCTCCATCTTCTGCCTTTTTCCAAAACTTGTGACAAAGAAAGTAAAGAAAGGACATATGAAAAGTAAAAATAAATAAACAAATAAAAGATTCTATGTTGATTTATTACAAGTAAATAAGAACATGGAAACTTAAAAACATGGTGTATAAAAAACTAACAAAATTGGAAAGTGAAGTTAAAATAAATGTTATCAAAGCTGTGAAACAAAACACAAAGTCAGTTATGCTACACTGAGAGTGAGACCCTAAGACAGTACATTTTTCTTCCGTATTTTGAGTATTTATACCTCAATATACTTCCCTCCAATCAGAAACTCACATTCCAAATGTCGTTGGGTGTAGGCTGCCCCTGTGCTCTGGCTGCTTCAGAGAATTCTAGAACAGAGAATGGAGAAAAGCTTTAGAGACATAGTCTACCTCTAAAACGAGATATCTTGTGAAAATTACATGGAAAAAACAAAGGAACAAGAATCCTAAATATGTAGAACATAAACACAGTACAACAGCACTCTGGCCTCAGAATCAATCCTTAAGGCATTCACATCTGGTTAAAAAGCCCATGAGAGTTTCTCAGGCATAGAAAGCCAAGACACTGTGGCAAAAAATGACCTAAATGGTAGATCTCAGTGGGTGAGATCCCAGTGGAAAGAACAGGTCATCAAAGACGGAAATATCTTTCTCTGAAGGAAGGAGAGAACTTCCACATTGATTTTGGCCTTATCTAAATAAGGTCAGATTTTGTGAACTCAAGGGGCTTCCATAGCCTTGGCAGCTCATGACAAGAGCTTCAGTAATTGCTGACATCATAAATCAGAGTGTCAATTGTCAAATCAACAACGGGAGTCACTGTGCATTTACTCACCATGTAGGATCTCTGTCCTTAACGTGTTGTACTATGGGAAGTAATGGTAAAACTAGTACTCAAACAGTACTTTATACTTTGTGTATCTGCATGGGTGCAAACTGTTGAAATCTTTACTCAGCATATACTAAGTTGATCTTCTGTATATAAAGATAATTAAAAATGAATCCTAATGAACAATGGGATAGCAGAGGGAATAGGAGATGGGATGGTTTACGGGTGGAAGGGTGATTGTGGAGGGGGGGGAATTGTTATAATCCAAAGTTGTACTTTCGAACTTTATATTTATTAAATAAAAATTTTCTAAAAAAAAAAAAAGACATGATAAATTTACTGCAGTAGATATCGCCAATGTCCCATCCCTGATCCCCTTGTCATTTTGGATGCTTTGTTCACTGAAATATGCAATTCTCTTTTTCTTTTCTTGGAGGGATTGGGGAAAGTATTTATTGGAAATGCAGTTATACACACACACACAAACACACACACAGAGAAAGAGAGAGAGAGAGAGAGAGAGAGAGAGAGAGAGCTTTTCCACCCCCTACTTCAATCCCGAAAAGCCTTCAGTGGCTGGGCTGGGACAAGCAGACGCCAGGAGCCTAGAGTCCCTTATGTGTCTGAAACTCCTCTGAAGAAAGTCAGTGGTAAAAAGACATCTGTGCTATTATTACTATTTGTTGGAAATCTTGATTTTCCAAATGAATCCTTACTGAAGAGAAAAGAATCTAAGATCCTGGGCAACGATGTTTCAGGAAAATCGTGTTCATATTGGACAGGGAGATTCTTATGAACAAAAGCTCATTGCTTTTACTCAAGAGAGAGAAATCTATGAGTTACGATTATATTGATACTGACTCCTCGATCCCAACACCTAAAAAATTCTGGCCCTGCTCTGTTCTAAAACACATTTTGTGATTTTTCTTCTGAGTGCCAACGAGGCCACTCCCACCTGTCTTTGGCCCCTGACACTTGGCAAGTGTGGGGATTGTTGCGTCTGATCAGCGCACTCACAAAGCACTCCCATTGTACTGGCCAAGTACTTGATTGGCCCTCAGGTTTTCCGCCCTTCTCCGGGAAAATGGCAGCTTCTTCCGCACTGCGCAAGGCACCACCTCACCACTGCCAGGGTCCCTCTGCTTCCCCGTGGGTTCTCGGGATTCTCCTGCTGACCCTGGTGTTCCTGCCATCTACCTCCTCTAACACCTGTGGTGAGCCACCAAGATTTCAAAGTATGAGGCCCAAGGGTGACATTAAATCGTCCTATAATGTGGGGGAGCGAGTGGAATATGAGTGTAGGCTAGGATACAGTCACCGGCCGTCTCTGCCCAAATTTATTACTTGTCAAGAGAATCAACAATGGTCACAGATCTCAAATGATACTTGCTATAAAAAATCATGTCCACGTCAACCTGAACCCCCAAATAGTCAAGTTAACGTCGTAAATGGAAGCTATGAATACGGGAACCAGATTGAATATGTGTGTAATGAGGGTTATCACTTAATTGGTGAACGTATTCTGTATTGCCAAGTCAGTGATACAGGTATGCAATGGAGTGGCAGTCCTCCACGATGTGAAAAGATTATGTGTACACCACCTCCAGACATACCAAATGGAGCACACTCCGGAGCTGGCAGTGATGCATTTGAATATCGAGCAGCTGTAACTTACACGTGCAATCGGGCGTCTGGACCAGATGAATTTTCACTTATTGGAGAGAGTCAGCTGTATTGTGTTGGGCCTGGAAAATGGAGTAGTGACCCTCCTCAGTGTAAAGTGGTCAAATGCCCAATCCCAACAGTCACAAATGGAAGGCAGGTGTCAGGATTTGGGACAAAATTTTACTATAAAGCAAATGTTATGTTTGAGTGCAACCAGGGATTTTACCTTCACGGCAGCGCGATAGTTACCTGTGCTGAGAATAGTACTTGGCAACCCCCTATTCCATCATGTCTTGAAAGACAACCGCCTTCCACTACAAAAGCTCCTTCAGTGTCAACGCCTTCAAATTCAGATCCTTCAGGGCCAAATGGTCCATCTTTGAGTCCTACAGTGTCAATTCCTCCAAATGCAAGTCCTTCAGGGTCAGTTCCTTCCAGGGCTAAACCTCAAATGTCTAGTGTCTTACAGTGTACCTGTCCCTTGGAAGAACCACTTGACCTCTGGGATATACTTGGATGCATCATTGCTTCGATTATTACTTTGATTGAATTGTAATTGTTTTTGCCTTTTTAAATATTTCCAAAACAAGACAAAGAGAAAACAAGTTAGAGTGGAGTATACCACTTACACTAATAAATCAAACCCTCCTGAAGATGAAACAATGATTTCAGCAATTAGTCTGCTATTTTATCTTTTGAACTTTATTAAATCCTCAAATCTGAAATAATCTCTACTTTTACTGTCATGAGTGAAACTATTAAGCCATAATGTTAACATTTTAATATGATTTGAATAAGACCATCATTTTTGGATACTTCTTTGAAATGTGTATGAATTTGAGTATGAACATATATTCTATTTTCTCTTAAGTGATATTTGCATTGTTGGGGCAAGTCAATAGTCATCCAGAGTGATATTAAGTTGAGGGAATAATTTCTTATATTAAATTTGAGAATTTAGAGGAACTAAGTTCAAAGTAAAGTTACATTTCATTGGTAAAGGAAGTGATTCTGAAATATGTTTCATTAAATAATTAGTGTCAGTTATGAAAATGCATTGTTTCACCTACTTTGACATGTATCTTACATAATGTTCATTGTACAAAGCTTTAAAACATACACATATATACATTTCCACGCAAATGCAGATGCTTATGTTTACATAGAAAAGCATACGCAAACAGGCTTACACACACACATCCAAGGACAAATACAAGGATATATCAAAAGGCCATGAGAAATGAAATTAACAGATGTTTACTTTCAAATTAAAAGAAAAATGTCAAAAATATTTGAAATCCATGCATGTGGTAAATTCTCAAAAAGTTCTTTAAAATGTATATTCAAAAATGTACATGGATTTTACTTTTAAAGCTTATGTATTTGCCTTTGAATTGTATTTTCTGTGAACCTGTACTAAGGGACTTTTTGGAGGTATATTGTCACCGTGGTTTTCTCTCCTTTATAAGAATCTCAATATCCCCCATCAATGGATATAAAATTTCCCTGAAGTAAGGACTATCACCTATCTTAATACCTGAATTAAATCAAAAAGTTTAGGCACTCATTTGCTACTAAAATGAGAGGAGGGGGCAGAGAAAATGCAGACGAGAAGGAAAAGAAATTTACAATAAAGAGAACTAAGGGGTGTAGGATGGGTATAGCCACTGTTTGGGACCATAGGGGTGCTGATTCATGTCCCAAATGCTTCACTTCTGATTCAGCTCTCTGTTAATGTGCCTGTGGAAGCAGCGGAAGATGGCCCTAGTGCTTGGGCTTCATCACCCACATGGGAGACCTGGAAGAAGCTCATGGTTCCTGGATTTACCAGCCCAGCCTGGCTGTGGCATACATATGCAAAGTGAATCAGCAGATGGAACATCTCTCTCTCTGTCAGTAATCTCCATTTATAATAAGCAAATATTTAAAAGAAAGAGTAAGAGAAATCAAATACTCCAAATACAAATCGGGAATTATCCTCTCTGTGAACACTTAAAATGTATTTTAAATGACTAATATAAAGAGGTTATGTAGGGATACCATAAAAGCCATCACTTTTAGCTAATGAAGTAAACAATATAAAATATAGGATAATCATAATTACATAAATAACAGCCTGGAAATAAAAGAAAAAAAAGATAATTGTCTAACTATCTTTGGGTTATAAAAATATAATTCAATTATTGAAATTTCAGATTTTTTTGAAATTTTTAAAATGCATTTGAGAGGCAGAGACACAGGCCTAAATAGACACAGAGATCAAGCTCCTATCTGCCCTTTCATTCCTCAAATACCTAAAATGGACAAGACACCAAAGAGGGAAGCTGAGAACTCAGTGCAGGTCTCCCGAGTAGGTGTTAGGAACACATCACCACTGCCTTCTCAGGTCTTCATTAGCAGGAAGCAGGAGGCAGGAGGCAGGAGCAAGAGCATGATAGTGAACCAAGGCACTCTGGTACCAGAGGCAGTTTGTCGTAACGAGCTTCAAACAACTATGCCAAATACCTGCCCCCAATTGTTAACTTTTAAATAAAGTATATAAGACACGTATGTTACATAAATGTGCACATCTACACACTGGGGGGTGTGTATGTATGTGTGATGAGCAAAGGTACATGTGAAACTTGGTTTTACAAAAGGTAAAACCTGGTAATTGATGCCTTTTTGTATCCCATCCTGGGTCCACACCTTATTCCACAGTGCACTGTTGAGCCCTATTCCTCGTCTTCTTTTCCGTTATTACTGTTCCTAGATCCAGGTTTCTCAGTCACTAACAAATTCACTAAGAAAAATATAATCATGTTGTGATCATATAAGTAATACAAATGAGATCTTTCAATTTCTTGCCTTTTCTCCCCATTATGAAGCCCTAACAAATTAAACCAGGTAGGTCAAGAGCTATGTTTAAAGATTATGCTTATGTGTTTCCCTATTTCTAAACTAGAGATGGGAAGGCAAGAATTAGTAACAATGATGGGCTCTCTTACAAGCAACATGATCAAATACATCCAAATCTGTGGTCAACCTGCTTCTTTCTTTTGCCCTGGAGTGGGATAGAGTTTGAGAAGTTTTGGGGAAATTTCTTTTCCTCTAAAATCAAGAACAATTGGTGTCACTCTGGGTATTATCTGACAACCAAAGCTCTAGAGGATTTTTGGATGTGCTGTACTCATTTTACGTACTCTATAGCAAGTACAAGAGGTAAATCCCAGAAGAACTCAGCCCAAGCATCAAGAGGAAGCTCTAGCTATCACTGATGAACACACAGTTCTCTTTCCAATTACAGAAAAGACCACTATATGGTCTCCATATGTGTGTCAGGCACATTATCTGAACAACAGAAAGGCCAATCTCTTACCTTTCTTATAATTCAGGTAGGCTATAACATTTTGGTTACCACAAATTGTAATATCTTTCACCTGGTAATATTAATTGTAGCAGACAAGAGAAAGAAAGCAAAAGGGAAGGAGAGAAAAAGAAAAAAGAGAGAAAAACATTCTCAGTCTGTAAATTCAATAGTTTTCCAAAACATAACAGCAAGTAAAGCATATTTTTTTTGCTATTTGTTGTTGTGGAATGATTTTTTCTTACATCTGTCATCAGACATCCTGGAATTGGTATAAGGTTTTTAAAGAACATGGACTATGTTACTTCTTGGTGGACAGTACATTCCTCCGATGAGTGCTCAGAGTTATGAACATAGGCATTAGTAATGGTACATCCACCTTCCTCAAGTATCATGTCTGAATCGCTCATAGTTTCCTCTACATTGGAGATCAAGTTCCATAACACTAAGAACCAGTAACATCTGTTTTTGCAAAGCGTGTCTTCACTTTTAAATATTGCTTTTTCATGAACTTTACAATACAGGTCTTTATATAAGTGATGTCATACTTTTCAATGAAGGAAGCTGTTCCACAATAAAGAGCACTGTCCTCCAATTTACATTGTTGAATAAATTCTTGTATATTTTATTATATTTTATGTACACATAACTCAAAACCAAGGGCCCATTTGAAGTTCACATTAAGACAAACTTGTTTAATAGGTATTATTTATTTAAATAATAATGCCATTGAAAAATATTTTATGAATTACAGGTAGCTGTGCTTTCTATATATAGCTTTTATGGAACACACATTCCACGCCTGAGAATTTACCCACAGGAAATGAAATTAGCATCTTTATACCCATGTTTGCAGCTGCTCAACTCCAGATAACTAAGTAAGGAAACCAACCTAGATATCCATCAACTGATGAGTGGATAAAGAAACTGTGATACATATACACATTGGAAGAATATTCAGTCTTTAAAAAAAGAAATCTTTCTTTTGCAACAAAATGGATGCATGTAGACACCATTATGCTTAGTGTAATAAGCCAGTTGCAAAAGGACAAATATCGTATGCTTTTCTGATTTAGGGTAACTAATGTACAGAGTGCTAAAAATGTATTGCATATAAGCAAAATTGACATTTTGAGATTTTGATTTTGGCTTATAGCCCTTGTCTATACTCCTGAGGAACAATGGTTTTTCTAATTACTACTTGAAATCTTTATATAGTAGAGGGTTGTTTGTGTTTATAATGTAAATTGAAAATACATCATTGTAAAAAAAATTTAAAAATAAGAAATGAGGGGCTGTGCTGGGGCGTGGTAGGGTAAAGCTCTGGTCTGCCGTGCCAACATCGCATATGGGCACGAGTTCAAGTCCCAGCTGCTCCACTACCAATCTAGCCCTCTGTTATGGCCTGGGAAAGCAGTGGAAGTTGGCCCAAGTCCTTGGGCCCCTGCACCCCTGTGGGAGACCCAGAAGAATCTCCTGGCTCCTTGCTTCTGATCACTGCAGCCATTTGGGAAGTAAAAGAGCAGGTGGAAGACCTGTCTCTCTCTGCCTCTGCTGCTCTGTAACTATTTCTTAAAGATAAATAAATAAATCTTTAAAAATAAAAAAGAAGAAATGAAGGAGGGTGGAGGGTGACAGTGAAGAAAGGAGGGTGGGGAGAGAAGTATCATTACTCTCCTAAAACTGTATATATGAAATTCATGAAATCAATTCCCTAAACAATAAAATACAATAAAAATATAAAATCTACAAAAGAAATTCTATTTACATATAAAAATATGAAATATTTGTGAATTAAATAAGACAAATTTGTGAGATAAATCTTACTTATAATGCTTACAAAATGATTACTACCTAAAGACTGAAACATCAGTTTTCAAAGTGGATATATTTCAGTGGACAGGAATCCACTGAGGACACACAGAATATTTTGGCACAGAGGAAGTAATGATTCAAATGAGAGATAGATACTGTAAGAAGGAAAGAGAATAAAGTCAAGGAAGGAGCACATGGTAAGATTAGATATGCTCAGAGTCATGGACAACAGGAATGACAATCCAATGGCATATACCTAAGCACACATCTCATTCTGGCTGCTTTCCCAAATAGCACTAACTTGTTTCTAATCATAGCCTTTATTACATTTCTTTAGGGTTACAAGTCCCCTATGAGTATGAACATTACACTTGCACCCAGTTTGTTTCCCTTTGCCAATCTATTTCAGTCTTTTAGTCATCTCTTCTGGAAATGATCCTGCCAGTTCTAAATATTATTTTAAAAACAGATTATTTATTTATTTATTTATTTGAAAAGGTGAGTTACAGAGAGAGGCAAAGGCAGAGAGAGAAAATCTTCCGTTCACTGGTTCACTTTCCAAATGGCCTCAACAACCAGGGCTGGGCAAGGCCGAAGCCAGGAACCTGGAGCTTCATCCAGATCTACCAAGTGGGTAGGGGCCCAAACACTTCTGGCATCTCCTGCTGCTTCCACAGCAGCATTAGCAGAGAGCTGGATGAAAAATGGAGCAGCCAGTACTCACACCAGTGCATGGGAAGTTGGAGCTGCAGGCAGTAGCTTAACGTGCTATGCCACAGCTCTGGCCACCTAACCACTATTATTACACTGATGCATACTTCATCCATTTGACTGCAATTTCCTGGTATTGAGATCCCCCAAAATTGCGATTGTGACTGTGCACTCCCCTGTGAAGAGGCAGAGCTTCCTTCTACACAGTCATGGATGATCCAACAGATGACTCAAAATTCATGATAGCATTCCTTGTAGGATTTCATTCCAGCTTCAATTCCATTTGATCTTTTCTATTACCAGGGGTCATTTTGACAATTGTACTTCTAGCTTATTCTTTTCCTCTGAGCTCCTTATTCATAATTACTTTCCTGAGATAGATGTACCATCCCCTACCATACAGAATTAATCTTTGTGTTCTTTTTCCCAAATTTCATCTCTCATGGGTGTAAAAAATATGAAATTTTTCTTTGTAATTGTCAGTGTTTGTTTTGTTTAGAGGAGTATGCATGAATCACTTCTTTTATGTTGAATTTTGATATAGAGTTAAAAATATTGATTGACTAAATTATATCATGTGCAAGAAGATATAACCTTCATTCCCCACTTTATAATTGTCATTAATCCTACATTCTTATTATTAATACCTGCTTTCAAGAATAATATGTGTATTTAATAATATCTATATATGAAAACAATGTGGGAAATTGTTAGAAATTATTAAAACTTAATTTAAAAAGAATCCAAATGAAGCATAAGTAAACTGGTATTACAGAGGAGAATATAGTTAAGCTTCAAATATTCCAATACTGTAAAGTAATGAATAAGTTTTAACTATCATAAAATTTAAAAAGACAAAGGTATTACAATAGCTACAATAATATGTAAATGGGCAAACAATATAAAAGGATGTAAATTGTGGCATAAATAACAATGAATATAGGGAGAAGTAGTGAAATTGTTTATCAAAATATAATTGTAATAAAATCAGAAATAGAAAATAGCCATTATAACAGAAAACACAGGATTATAAAAGACTACAATGAAAAATAGCATGCCAATAAATTAGATAGCAAAGAAGATTTGAATATACTCCTAGATATTAATTCCAACATTTAATCATGAGAAGTCTAAATTTTAAGCAGACCAGTAATGAGTAAGATCAAATAAATACTTAAACAGTCTCTAAGAAAATAAAATCCCAGGGATCACTTCAGCTATCCTATTCAGCTACACTAAACCATTTCTTAAAGGTATGCGGGGATTGATAAATCTGGAGACACCTCTAAAGAAAGCCAATGCATCGCTGCTAACTTTTGTAGGCTGATTCTCAGTGTAAGACACGTAGTTTCCCAAAGGGTCCTTGATGAGACTCCTAGCCCCTAAAGGACAGGCTACTTATTAAAACATGGATTATTGCCCACTCATCGTTCCCCATCTCATTTTTCCTATTCATTTGGTCATCCTTGGATCTTTCAAATGACTCCTTGCTCATGAATAAAATCCTAAAATTCTGGGCATCAGTGTTTCTGAAAACTTAGGTAAATATTGGGCACAGAGACTTTCATGAACAAAAGCTTATTGCTTTTCCTCGAGACCAAAAGCTATCAGTTAGGATTACATTGATACTGACCCCTGAGACCCACCATGTGAAACATGCTGGCTGGGTGCTCCTCTAAAAACTTTTTGATATTTCTATACTGTGTTCCAAGGAGGCCACACCCACCTGTCCTTTGACCCTTGACACTTTGAGAACGTGGGGATTGTTGCGTCTGATCAGTGCACTCACAAAGTACTCCCAAGCTTGATTGGCGCTGAGGTTTTCCGCTCTTCTCCGGGAAAATGGCAGCTTCTTCCGCACTGCGCAAGGCACCACCTCACCACTGCCAGAGTCCCTCTGCTTCCCCGTGGGTTCTCTGGATTCTCCTGCTGACCCTGGTGTTCCTGCCATCTACCTCCTCTAACACCTGTGGTGAGCCACCAACATTTGAAAATATGAGTCCCGCGGGTGACATGAAATCCTCCTATAATGTGGGGGAGCGAGTGGAATATGAGTGTAATCCAGGATACAGTCACCAGTCGTCTTTGCCCAAAAGTGTTACTTGTCAAGTGAATCAACAATGGTCACAGATTTCGAATGATACTTGCTATAAAAAATCATGTCCACGTCAAGCGGAACCCTCAAATAGTCGCGTTAACGTCGTAAATGGAAGCTATGAATACGGGAGCCAGATTGAATATGTTTGTAATGTGGGTTATCACTTAATTGGTGAACGTATTCTGTATTGCCAACTCAGTAATTCAGATGTGCAATGGAGTGGCAGTCCTCCAAAATGTGAAAAGATTACGTGTGCATCACCTCCACAAATACCAAATGCAGAATACAGCGGAGTTGGAACTGATTCATTTGAATATAATGCAGTTGTAATTTATACGTGCATTCCAGGGTCTGGACCAGATGAATTTTCACTTATTGGAGAGAGTGAGCTGTATTGTATTGGGCCTGGAAAATGGAGTAGTGACCCTCCTAAGTGTAAAGTGGTCAAATGCCCAATCCCAACAGTCACAAATGGAAGGCTGGTATCAGGATCTGCTACAAAGTATGGCTACAATAAAACAGTTCAGTTGGAATGCAACCCAGGGCTTTACCTTCATGGCAGCAATTTGAGTACCTGTGGTGAGAATAGTACTTGGCAACCTCCTATTCCATCTTGTCTTAAGGAACCACCATCTCCCACAAAATCTCCACCAAATTTGCGTCCTTCCGTGTCGATGCCTTCAGGGCCGGCTCCTTCCAGTGCAAGACCCTTAATCTCTAGGATCTTTCAATATACAAGTCTCTTTGAAGGACCATTTGATCTTAGAGATATACTTGGATGGATCGTTGCTTTGATTATTACTATGTTGGGATTGTCGTAAATGGTGTCTGCCTGTGCACGTATTTCCAAAGCAAGATCAAAGAAAATGCGAGTTACTGAGGATTACGCCATTTATACCAATCAAGTCCACCTGCATAGAAAACGGAATGACTGCACAGCTAGTCCACCACTTCATCGTTTGAACTCTATTAAAATCCTCCAATCTTCAATAGTTATTCTCTATTTTTTATTGTTATGAGTGAAATTGTTATGTCATAATGTTAACATTTTAATGTGACTTTAATGTGGCCACCATTCTTGGATAAATCTTTAAAATATGTATGAAGTTGTGTATGAACACATTGCCTCTATTCTCATAAATGACATTTGCATTGTTAGGGCAAGTCAACAACCATCCAGAATGATATTAACTTGAAGGATTGTTTTCTTTTCTAAAATTTGCAATTTACAGAATTGTAGTTCAAAATGAAATTGCATTTCATTGGTAAAGAAAGTGATTTTGAAATATGATTTGTTGATAAATGAGTGCTAATTATGAAAATGCATCATGTCACCAATTTGATAGGCATTTTACCTAATATTCATGGTACGGTGTTTTTTTAAATACACATATACATACACTTGCATATACATGAACACGTTAATGGTTACATACAAATATATATAAACACATACACAAACAGGCATATACATATGCATACAAGTACATATAAATACAAGGATACATCACACAGTACTCCTTTCCAATCATATAGGAGACCACAGGCACCATATGTGTGTCAGAAACACCTGAAAAAATGAAATGTCAATCCCTTAACTTCCTTATAACTCATGTGAGCTATAACATTGCTATTGGCCACAATAACACAATATTTTTCACTTAGTAGAATTAATTGAAGCAAACAGGACAAAGGAAGCAAAATGGAAAGAAAAAGAATGGAGAAAAGAGGAAAGATAAAAAAAAATCAGCATATAAGTCAGCATTTTTCCAAAGCATTACAGCAACTAATGTATATTTTTTATGCTGTTTGTTTCTGTGGGATGAATTTTCTCACATCTGTCCTCAGACGTCCTGGAAACGACATTGGATTTTTAAAGAACATGGGATATTTTACTTCTTGATGAAGAGTGCAGTTTTCCTAGTGGGACTGAAGCATTATGAACATACGCATTAATAATGCACATCCACCTTCCTCTAGTGTCATGTCCACATTGGTCACATTTTCCTCTGCCTGGGAGATCTATTTCTGTACCCCTAAGGATGTGCGACATGTGTTTTTGCAAAGCTTCTCTATGTTTTTGCTAATTATTTCTTTTTAAACCTTAGGTGACAGGACTTTGCATAAATGATGTCACAATGTTAAAAGTATGAAACTGTTCCAAAATAATATGTCTTCCAATTTGCAATGTTCAGCTATTCTTTATATATTTTCATTACTTTTACTGTACAAATATCTCAACGCCAAGGGCCTAGTTAAAGTTATCATTAAGTTATAATTGTTTTTTAGGAAATAATTAAATAACAATGCTATGGCAAAAATTACTTTATGAGTTATTTGTAGCATATTCATATGTATATGTATATGGATCAGCATAAGAAAGAGTCACCTGTACACCCCTATTTACAGCACCTCAACACACAAAGGCTAAGATGTGGAATCAACACAGATGTCCATAAACTGATGGTTAGATAAAGAAATTGTGGTTTGTATACACAATGAAATATCATGTAATTAAAAAATAAAATATTTCTTTTGCAATGAAACAATGCAAATGGAGACAATTATGCTTCATGTAATAAACCAGTCCCATAAAGACAAATATCATATGTTTTCTTGACTTGGGGTAATTAATATAAAGAATGCAAAATATGTAATGTGAATGAGATGTGTTTTTTTTTTTTCCTATTTACTACCAGCTGAATTCTCTATTTATTGTAGGGCTAAGCTTGTGATTGTAAAGCAACTTGAAAATATGTCATTATAAAATAGAAAATAGGAATTGAAAGAGAATAAAAGGTGGGAGTTAAGGAAGGAGGACGGAGTGGGAAGTGAAACTATGCTCTTAAAACTGTACATATGAATAGATGACATTTGTTCTCTATATAGAAACAAAGTACAATAAAGTACGTAATACAAAAATTTAAAAAAAGAATTCTAATCACAGAACCAAAAATGTAAAACCTTTGTAGATTATAGTATGGCAACTGTGTCGGATAATGCTTGCTTCAAATGCTTACAAAATGATTACTACCTAAACACTGAAACATCAATTTTCAAAGCTAATATATATCAGTGGCCAGGAATCCAATGATGATCCATAAAATATTTTGGCACAAAGGAACGTACGTTTCAAAAAAAGAGCTAAATACTGTAAGAAGGAAAGAAAACAAATTCAAGTAAGGAGTAGATGATAATATTAGAAATGCTCAGAATCACAGAGAGCAGCAGTGCCAATCTGATGTTCTACACCTAAGCACACACCTCATGCAGGCTGCTTTCCCAAATCCCACTAATTTTTTTTTTTTTTTTTTTGACAGGCAGAGTTAGACAGTGAGAGAGAGAGAGAGACAGAGAGAAAGGTCTTCCTTCCATTGGTTCACCCTCCAAATGGCCGCCACAGCCAGCGCTCAGCGCCGATCTAAAGCCGGGAGCCAGGTGCTTCTCCTGGTCTCCTATGCGGGTGCAGGGCCCAAGCACTTGGGCCATCCTCCACTGCACTCCTGGGCCACAACAGAGAGCTGGACTGGAAGAGGAGCAACCGGGACAGAATCCGGCACCCCGACCGGGCCTAGAACCCTGGGTACCGGCACCTCAGGTGGAGGATTAGCCATGTGAGCCATGGCGCCAGCCACCACTAAATTGTTTCTAATCATAGCCCTTACTGCAGCTCACTCTCTTTAGAGTTAAGCATCTCTTATGAGTGTGGGCACTTGGCACCCAGTCTGTTTCCCTTTACCAAGCTATTTCAGTCTTTTAGTCATCTCTTCTGGAAATGATCCTGGCAGTTCTAAGCAAATTTTTTTTAAGTTTTATTTATTTGAAAGGCAGAGTTACAGAAAGGGAGATGCAGAAACAGAAAGAGAAGGCTTTCATCTGCTGATTCACTCCCCAAATGGCCAAGGCTGGGCCAGACCAAAGCCAGGAGCCCAACCTTCATCTGGGTTTCCCCAGTGGGCGCAAGGGACCAAACACTTGGGCCATGTGCTGCTGCTCCCCCAGGAGCATTAGCAGGGAACTGGATGAGGAGTGGAGAAGCCAGCACCCAAATTGATGCCCGTTTGGTAAGCTGGAGCTGCAGGCAGCAGCTTAATCTGTTATGGCACAGTTCTGGGCTCCTAGGCACTGTTATTACACTGCTCTATACATCATCCATTGTAAATGCAATTTCCTGAAAAAAAAGATCCCCCCAAAAGAAGTATTATTTGCCATTCTGACTGTGATTGTACCACTGCCCTGTGAAGCAGCAAGAGCTTCCTTCCACGTGGTAATGGATGCTCCAATAGATGGCTCAAGGTTATGATAGATTCTTGAAGGATTCCATTCCAGCCTCAATTCCATCTGATTTTCTCTTTAACTAAGGATCTGTTTGACAATTGTATTTCTAGCTTATTCTTTTCCTCTGAGCACCTTGTTTATCATTACTTTCCCTAGACAAATGAGCCTTCTCCTATCATATGGAATCAATTTTGTTCTTCTACATTTCATCTGTCATGGGAATAAGGAATATGTGTATATATATGTGTGTGTGTGTATATATGTATATATCTATATCTATCTATATATCTATATATAG